AGAGCAGCCTCTGGCCGGTGGCTCCGGGCCCAGGCTGTGGTGCGGCTCCAGCGGGCCAGCTCGGGGGCACAGTTGCGCAGCGCATAGAAGAAAGGGACAAGGCTTGATCTAAATCTCTTTACTTGAGGGAGGCGATGCCCAGCGCCGGCAGGCCTGGAGTCCCACCAATACAGCAAGCCAGACACACAACTTGATAAAAGGCCCCAGCAAGAGGGGGCTCTGTCCACACAGGCCCACCAGCCCTCCCGTGAGGAAGCAGCGTGGCCCCCTCCCCACGGTGGAGACGAAACCCAGGGACAAGGCTTGATCTAAATCTCTTTACTTGAGGGAGGCGATGCCCAGCGCCGGCAGGCCTGGAGTCCCACCAATACAGCAAGCCAGACACACAACTTGATAAAAGGCCCCAGCAAGAGGGGGCTCTGTCCACACAGGCCCACCAGCCCTCCCGTGAGGAAGCAGCGTGGCCCCCTCCCCACGGTGGAGACGAAACCCCGCTCTGCATCCTGCCGCACTACTGCGTGGCTCAGGTAATAGGCAGCCAGCCACTCCGCTCTCAGCACAGAGCTAAGGGCTTGATGCCCCGGGCTGCGGGCAGCCTGCCTGCCACAGCGGCTCAGCTGAAGTTAAGGCGAAACAAAGAGGCTGGAGCTGGTCGAATGCCCAGTCCCACTAAGCCACAGGCGAGCCCCAAGCTTGGTCCCCAGGAGGGGAAGCTCAGCAAAGCAGGAGCCCAGGGAACCCTTGGACACCCTCCAAACAAAGAAAAAAACAAAAACAAAAAACGTCTAGAAGCAAAGTTCATGCCCCGGAGGGAGAAACTAAAAACCGGAAGGACCAGGCTCAGCGACTTTACAATGGGCCCAGATCCTGGCTCCTAGCTAATTACAAAAGGAAATAAAACCCAAGGCAGGGATTAAAAGGCAGCTCGCCAATCTCATTACCAAACAGGAAAACGGCAGCGTCGAGGGGTTACACCCCAGGACCCTGCAGAGGCGAGTGAGGGCCTCAGGGGGCTGCATCCCAGACGCAGCTCAGAAGGCTTTGAGCGGGGCGGGGGACTGGGAACAGGCAGATCCAGCCTCTGCGCTGCCAGGAACCACCATGCTCCTGAAGCGGGGGGCTTGCTGGAGCCGGTTCCGCTGCGCTCTCAGAAGCAGCGGCTTAAGGCAGGGAACACACGTCTCCCTGGAGTTACTGTCCTCACTCAGGCGTGGCTCCCAGTTACTGCAATCAGAACACAGCAGACTGCACAGCGGGCAGGAGGCAGAAGGGATCACAGGGTTCCCGCCTGCTGTGGCCCCAGGGGGCCAACTCTGGGAAGGCCCATCCCCGGCAGGAAGGCTCAGAGAAGCCGAGTCTTTCACACATAAAAACCTCAAAAATCCAGACTACTGGTAAAAAAGAGTTTGTACAAGATTTACAGGCGGAAGGGACGAGTGCTTCAGAAGGGAGGGGTTAAAATATCCTCTTCCGCTTCAGGTAGGAGTCTGCATAGTGCCCCCCCAGGCCCTGAGAGTGCTGTCCGACGTAGCCGCCCTCCGGGCTGGGCTCCGGGCTGGGCAGCAGGTGGGAGAAGGCCCGTTTCTGGCCCCCGATGGGCGTCTGGAAGAGACAGCGGGGAGAGGTGTCAGGGGACCGGCAGGGCGCTCAGAGCTCTGCCCTCGTCCCCAGAGCTACTCACCTTGGAGTGGGAGCCCTGGGAGTGGCTGTTTGGTCCCAAGCCCAGGATGCTGTCTCCGGGACCCACAGGTGGCATCCCAACGGGGGGGGGTCACAGCCCTGCTGCTGGCCCCTGGAGCCCTGCGCTTTCACTGCCTTCCACCAGCAGGACCCAGCCAAGGCTTTGCCTCCCCCAAGGGGCCTAGCACCCTGCACCCTGACCACCCCCCGGCCCCTCAGGAGAGCGAGGCTGCAGCAGGGGTAGGGAACGTGGCCCTTCCCCCAGACGACCCCGCGGCCGCAACCGGCTGCTCTGCTGGCACCACACTCGCACTCCACCTCTACCCTGACTCCGCGGGCGTCTCAAGGGGCCGGCGTGGCCCACAGCCAGAGGGTTCCGTGTGGTGGCAGCGCCCGGCTGGGGGTCAGGG